TGATTTTCTAGTGGTTTCTTGGAGATAAGAGTCTCACGGACTTTCCTGCCTGGGCTGGCTTTGAACCTTGATCCTCAGATCTCAGCCTCCTGAGTAGCTAGGATGATAGGCTTGAGCCACTGGCACCCGGCTCAATTATTTTTCTTGTACTTAGTAAGTCTTCAAAATCTGGTATGTATTTCAGATTCGGACGAGTCCCACGCCACAGGCTCTACCTCATGGGCAGGGAGTAGCAGTCACCACGAGCCCGGTGAGGCGGGTGAGGAAAGGAGGGAAGACTCATCCACGCATAGGTGTACTCCGAGAAGACTCTCACAGACACAGCAGAAGTCAGCTGTAGAGGCCACCGCTTGAATAGCTCTCTAAGGGCCTGTCCTGCTCAGAATTCAGAATCCCGCCTTCCATTCCTTCTGTCCATCTACCCATCATCCTAGGAGGTGCTGGGTGCTGAGTCTGCTGTGGAGTGCTTCTGATCTCACAGGTAATCCCGCAAGAAAATCACCACGGTGAGTGCCGTGGAGCCTGAGTTGTGCTGGGAGTGATCAGAAGATGCACATGGGGGCAGGGAGTTCAGATGTTGGGGGGGGGGAGAATGGGGTGCACCATGCCCACAGCAAAGGCCACGGGGCAGCTTTGTAGAACCCAGGAAGCATGCAGCACAAATGGGAAGAGAAGCCTAGATGCTTTCAGCATCCCTGTCTGCTCCTGTACACAGTCTTCAGAGGATTCACAGGCATCGCTGAGCTGCCACCCACAGGCCACACTGTGTTCTCCTATCACCTCCTCCCCCAGGGGACTGAGTGGGAAAGAAGGGCCGCCAGCCACCCCATATCCCGGACATTGCCACGGGGCCAGCTGTGAGTGACAGACCAGACAGGGATTGCTTCACCCAGCACCACAGACCAGGAGGAGGGACCGAGATCCACACCGACAGCACTGTAATCCTAGTGACTCAGAAGCTGAGATCAAAGCCAGCCTGGGCAGGAACGTCCGTGAGACTCTTAGCAACAATTAACCAGCAAAAGGCCATTAGTAGAACTGTGGCTTAAGTGGTAAGAGCATAAGGCTTCAGCATGAAAGCTAAGGGAAGGCACTGCCCAGGCCCTGAGTTCAAGCCCTACTACCACACAAATAAAATACAATGGAGAATAGGGCTTTTTAAAAATATGCAAAAATCGGGCTGGGAAGGTGGCCCAGTGGTAGAATGCTTGCCTTGCATGCACAAGGCCCTGGGTTCAATTTCTCAGCACCACATAAGCAGAAAAAGCTGGAAGTGGTGCTGTAGTTCAAGTGGTAGGGCATTCCCCTTGAGCTGAAGAGCTGAGGGACAGTACCCAGGCCCAGAGTTCAAGCCTCATGACCGACAAAAAAAATAAACAAATAAATAAAAATAAAAATATACAAAAATCGGGCTGGGAAGGTGGCTTAGTGGTAGAGCACTTGCCTTGCATGCATGAGGCCCTGGGTTCCATTCCTCAGCACCACATAAGCAAAAAAGAAAAAAACCA